CATTAAAATAGTCTTTGTGCGGTTGAGCAATTGTTATGTGGAAAGTGTATGAGTATTCATGTCATGAGTTGGGAATATTACCATTCTGATGGTCTAGTTCGTGTTACTCATGGGACATGGGAAGTCAGAAGTTATGTGAGGGTATTGTAAAACAATTTACAATATAACCTCGACGAGGGGCTTGGTTTGGATGCAAGGTTGTCAGGGAAATTCTTCATAACATATACTTTCACTGTGAAAAGTATATTTCTTTTGGTGTCGTTTTACTTTCTCTCAGGCATTGAAAGACACTTTTTATAAGGCGGTTGTTGAGTCAGGATCTATATGTGCTTGAGTTCGGCTGTTACTTCTTTCTTGTTGCACTTTTCAGGTAGTCAAGTCTCACAATAGGCAGGATCATAGGTCTGGAAATCGAAAGTCCTCCCAACAACGACATATTTTGGAGTGCTTCGCTACTTGGAGAGATGCATGTGGTCTTGCCAAGTTAGTTGATAGTGTGTTCGGAAGTACTGAGCAGGATAATTTGGGTCATAAAGGAGTTTATATTTAGGAGAAAGTTAAAAAGATGAGCTCTAATGTCAAGCAATGCCTCTGCAACATTGCAGATGATCACTTCACAACAACTATGAAAGTGTCAGGGTCATCTAGAGTGGGCCCTTATAATGGATACAATGAAGGTTTTAAAGGCTAATCACCCATGCATACCACCTCCCTTCATGCCAACTAGCTTGTTCTCCGAAGCTCCTATAGTTACTAAAGTTAATACTATCTTTAGGTGTACTAAATCATTTCTCAAAGGAAAATCACGTGGTAGAGATAGTTTGTGAGCACAACATATATTAGACGCACTGTGTGGAGAAGTTTCTGCTATGATAAGAGACATTTTATGCGAAATCGCTCTTGTTGTTAACTTATGACTGTGAGGAAGATATTCGATAAGTTTGACAAACTTTGCTGCCTTTGCACCCTTGACGTCCTTATTAAAGTATGACAGTGGGATATGAACAATTTCTTTATGTTATATTTGGAGACCATTTTTATCCAAGGCTATGAAAGGGGTTAGTAAAAATGTGGCAAGATATCTCAATGAATTTCACTTTGGGGTCAGGGTATTGGGTATTGCTAAGGTCATTTTGCATAATGCCAATAAGGTGTTAAGAGAGTGACATGAAGATAGTTCTTTGGATATGTCTACATTAGATTTCTCAAATGCTTTCAATATGGTATATCAATCAGCCATTTCCACGAGGTGAGGATGAGAAGCATATCCATTTTTTTGTGGGTTGAGTTCCTTTATGGTCAGACAATGAGTTTGTACCTTGGCAGCGCAACAAGGCGAATCATTAAGGTCGTTTCCTTTTGTTCATGTGTTATACCCATTCATTCATTTTATTATAGATAATTGTAAGTTTCTTCTTTATGCATGGAATCTTGACGAGAGGACCATCATAGGGAATTCAAAGGAGGTGGCTAAAGCCTTTGACATTATTCGGGAAATGGGTCCAAAATTAGGTTTTGAATTGAATATTCATAAGACTGAGATCTTTTGACCTTTATATGATGGTAATAAACTTCAGGGGAGTTCTTCCCTTTGGACATTGTGAGGCCGATGTTGGGGATGTTAGTCGAGATGAAGGCTTTATCGAGGGTTTGTACATGAAGAGAGTTGTCAAAACTATTGAGTTAATGCATCTTCTGCCACAACTAAGGATCGTTTGGGTCAACTTCTTGTACTTTGATTTTGCATGGGTATAACCAAACTACTTTTTAGTCTAAGAACGTGTCGACCTAATTATATGGAGGAAACAACTATTTGGTTTAATAAAGAGATGTGAAGGGCGATTGAAGACATCATGGTTGGTAGAGGTCCTTTCCTTATGAACCTTTAATAGATGATGACTTCTTTACCCATTAGAGTTAGAGGATTGGATTTGCACTCGGCATTAGAGGTTGACTCTTATGCTTTTGTGGCTTCTAGGACTCAATCTTGTGAGTTACTGGATCATATATTGCGAGACAATGAGAAATATGGTATGAAATCTGTTTTCAATAAAGCTTTGGATGATCTTAGTATGCGGTTCTACATTTTAACCTTAACAGTTTTACTAGAAAGGACACAATCACTCCTGAATCATAAAATGTTTTGGCAAGTGCTTGTCGTCAATACCAGGGTTCAATTATATTATCAGTGAAGAAAAAAAGATATAATGCTAGTAATAGTTCCAGTCCGCATTGGAGAATGGTTGGTAGTGGCGTTGAGATGTGTATTTGCAACAAAAAAAACTACGCCATCTAAGAAACAGACATTGGGCGAAGACATGAAACCCGTTTTGGTGGTTCCAAACGTGAACTAAAAATCATGATTTCATGGTAAGAGAGAAACAATTACGGTGATTGTTGATAATGAGATTAGTGAAGATCAAAAAGAGATTAGTGCACCTAAGTCTCCATGGAAAAGTCCTAATGTTGATGGAAATGGTGTTGATGTTCCTGTTATGGTGATTGGAACTAAATTTTGACCAACTTTTTGATGCTTAAACTCAAAAACCTAAGAATCAAATAAAGACTGTTTCTGCTAAGGTGGTGGATGTTGCAGTTTCACTGCCGATGTTGGTGAGGCTTCCCAAGAGCTTTTTCGGGTTAGAAGTCAAATGTTTTTGGAAACGTAAATCCATTGAATAAGATGCCATCAATGTGCTGTCAAAAGCATATTCTAGGCGCAACAATCAGACAAATGATGCAAATCACTTTCCTAGGACAGCGATGCCTTATCCTCAACAGTTTATTCATCCGTTTTTCATCCTATGTCACCCCCGCTCCCTATGGTTGTCCCTGCATATGCTAGTTCAGAACCTTATAAGAATGTTGACAACCCTGTGATGAGACCTGTACCCCTTGGTGATTGGACAAACATTCTTTTCCCACACATGGGTAAGGTTTATAAGGGTGGATAACTGTGAGAATACAAAGAGGAAATTCAACTCACCCTATGTAATGCATGAGGGACTCAACTTAAACTCTTTTCAGAGAGACTCAACTTAAAGTCTCGCTAGACAAACTCAACAAAAAGTATCTCCCGAGGAACTTAACTTAAAGTCTCGCTAGAGGGACTAAACTTTAAGTCTCTCAAGAGGGATTCAACTTAAAGTCTTTCTAGATGGACTCAATTTAAAGTCTCTCATGAAGGACTCAAATTAAAGTCTCGCCAGAGGGAATCAACTTAAGTCTCGTTTGAGGGACTCAATTTAATGTCTCGCTTGAGGAACTCAACTTAAAGTCTCATTAAGGGACTAAACTTAAAATTTCGCCTCAGGTACTCAACTTAAAGTCTTGGTAGAGGGACTCAACTTAAAGTCTTGGTAGAGGGACTCAACTTAAAGTCTCACCCATGCTATGACTGAGGGACTCACCTCTAGTCCTTAAAACCCACCTGGGGTAGATCCATACAAAGGAATCTTAAGGCTGTGAGCGTTGTAATTATTAAATCAGTCCTTTTCAAACCTTTGTGCTTGAGGGACTCTGTACAAGTATAATTTTATTAGGCATTGAAAACGATAAGACCTCCCAAAATAGGGTCACGAGACCTTCTTACACGGGACAATAACTCGCTTGAAAAAAAAGCATTAGGCTGCGTAGAGCATGGGCCACGAGGTCTCCCAATTTTGTTTGGGCCGCACGAATTGACTCATTTAATGACCATATGTGGCTGATGAGGTGTCCAACCACTAACCTACTGTAGAAGTGAGTCAAAGAGAAAAATCACCCCATTATTTAAGGAAGCATAAACCTCCCACTACTACCATGTTTCTGGTCATGGAATTGAAAATCACCTCATGTCTTTCTAATCGAAGCTCAAGAGATCATCTATAAATAAGTATTCCAATTCATAATTAAAAAGAGACGTCGAAAAACATGCTTACTGGGTCTCTCACAACCCTAAACAAATAAACTCTCACCTTCATTAAAATTTCATGTCTATTTTATCTAATATAGGTGTAATCCTATCATTTTCTTAAAAGAAGATGCTGATATTATTAAGGAAATCACCCTTAATAAGAAAAACATCCTTTTCTTTGATTTTTTTTAGCTGTATTACATTTTAGATTCCTTTTTCTTTTCAAATTTGCTACTTAAAGTAGACTGGATCACATGCTTTTGCACTTCTTTTGATTTATTGAAAGACAAAACATTATTTGCTTTTCATTGTAGCAATTGATTAGACATGTAATAGATTAAAATTGATTTAGATCAATTTGAACTAAATAAACAGTACAACAATAAAATCAAACACCACCACATCAATTAAGCTAAAATTATATGAGAGTTTTCAAATAAATTAATCAACTAATGATTGTTTATATATAATATTTATATTTTTCAATTCAACGAATTATTTTCTTTTAAAGACAAAATAGTGATAAATCTTACCTACATAACAAACAATATTCATAGTTGTAGACTTGTAGTGAAGTAAACTTGAAGCCAACAGAAGCATATTGAATTATTATTTTTTTTAAATTAAATTTTCTATTACACTACATTAATTATTTTTTATAGGTTAAATTGATTAATACTTTTAAAGTAAAGAAATAAAGTTGATATTTAGTAAATTCCAAAAATTAAATTAAACTATCATTACAATTTAAGTGACTAAAATCCAAAGAATAATATTGCAAGTTGGGTGTAGTAATAAGTTGCTATCACCCATTTATTAGAAAGAAAAAAAAAATCTTTATACTAAAATAGGTACTAGTATAAAATAGGTCTCAAGTACATTTATACTTTTCAAGCAATTTTACCTTTTCAACTTTTTCAAATATTGCAAGTTGCGTGTAAAACAAGTTATTGTTTTCAAAACTTTAACCTTTTGCTTTTAAAGGAGAATGTCTCCAAAACTAGAGCCAATTCCTATTTCAAGTCTTCTTGTTTTCAAACTATTTTCTCTCTTCTTCCTACAGTGACATCTTGCGTTAAGACTCAGTTTGCAGGTGTCCAAGAACATGGAAGCACCAATTTTTGTATACTTTCAGCTAGAAAGATTTTACCAGAATCACCACAGGTATGCAATAATCTATTCAGAATACTGATTTTTATTTTATTTTTGTTAAATTGCTGCTTTTGCTTTTCAACTTTCTCTTAAAATTGGTTATTATAGTTATGCATATAATTTATCATAATTTAGACTTTTTGTAACTGTATGTAATGTGTATGCATGAGAATTGAGAAGGAAAAGGTGTGTTTGAATTTTCTCTGCACCTCTTATCCTATTTTCATCTTCTATTTATACTGTATTTTATAACTTCAATGTATTTGACTGATTATTTTCATCCATAATGTGTGGGACTCACACATACAGCATAAATTTGATGGTGAACAAGAGTGCCATCTCTTGGAAGAGTGATAGAGAGCATAAATTTGGAAAAGATGTTTTCCCAAAAAAAAATTCAGAACAGAGGAAGAGTGGTTCTCTCCTTTTATGGCTTCCGATTGTTTATATGGTGAGTGAGTGAATCTAAGCAATATTTTCTTTGAATTGTTTTTTATTTCTTCATGTTATATTTATATTTTGTGTGGTTAATGAAAGTTTGATTCTCCATTAACTTAATCTATAAATCTAATAAGTAGTTGAGTTTTTTTTTTATTATTATTTTTTATGAGAGACATCTAAGCTCACCTTACATTAGAAAATTCTTTATACATATTTTCGTTAATAGATCTAAATATAATATCATTAACATATATTTAAACTAATAAAATATGTGATTTTCTATATTTTATAAATAAAGTAGTGTCGATAGCACCACAAAATAAGAAGAGGTGAGTGTGGATAGGTGTACTTACCGATAATGAATCTGAGTATGAAAAAATTAGAAAAAGAGTAGAAAACATCTTGCCGGGGACAGACTCCTAGCTTGTGGTCTCGCAAATCAAAGAAGAACCTCCTACATTCTCTGCGTGGTACATGAAGGAATAACACGACAATAATTAGATGCTCGAGCGGTGGCTAATAAATTTCTAAGAGTTGAGTACTATTAGTCGACCATGGTTTAAAATGATAAGGATTGTGTGAGAAGATGTTACCAATGCTAGTGACATGAAGACATCCATAATGCCTCTCGTCTGAACTGCACATGTTAACATCTCCCTAGCCTTTCACATAACGGGGGATGGATATTCTGGGTCCCTTCCCTTTAGCGCCAGGACAACTAAAGTTCTTAATTGTGGTGGTAGATTACTTCACCAAGTGTGTTGAAACAGAACCATTAGAGAAGATTACAACAACCAACTTATCGAAAATTTTCAAGAGGAACGTCCTAGCCAGGTATGAAGTCCCTCAGGCCATCATAGCAGACAACATGATGCATTTCACAAAATGAACTTCAAGAATCTCTTAGAAGACTTGAAGGTTAAGCAGTGTTTCACGTCAGTGGAACACCCCCAGACCAACGTGCAAGCTGAAGATTATGTTAGAAATCATTTAAGAGGTTGATCGGTTGGAAGAGACAAGGACCAATACCACCACTCTTATGAGTGTCTTCGTCAAACAAGCAACAACAACTAAATACAACAAGCGAGTTCAACCCCAAGAATTCAAACCAGAAGATCTTGTGTTAAAGCAAGCCGACGTTGGAGGAAAGAATACCAGAGACAGAAAACTCAAATCCAACTAGGAGGGGTCATACAGGATTAAGACTAGCACGAAAAATGGGGCCTACTTTCTAAAAAACTTGACCGGCGAATCCATTTCTAGGACGTGGAATGCTGCAAAGCTCAAATGATATTACAACCAAGTATTTCAAAGTATGCCCATAGATTATAATTACTCACACTCGTATGTAACAATTTGAAATGAGTAATATAATTTTCCTTGTTGGAATTATGTTGATTTTCATTAAAAGAAAACAGAAAGCGAAACTAATTGTGGCACCAAGTCATATCTGGCACAACTCTTATCGATATCTAGCCACTACATAGCATAGGAAGTGAAGCTCAGGATAAATCGAATCCAAACTAGGCTCAAACTTTAGGGAATACAAGTGAACCCGATTCTTGGCCAGGCACGGTCCTCAGTGGCGTTAAAGCTTACACCAGTTCCCAACAAAGGGAAAAGTAAGGATTAACGAAACCACAAAGGCAAACAAAGAAATGAAATGAAATTTTCGACAAACAAAGTGATAAAAAAGTTGCTATTGGATAATCAATAAGTAACGAGTAAAATACTGAAGGTGATGCAACAAACCATGCGCAGAAGGAATGCACAAATTACTAAGTAATTATATTGTTCTAATAAAAGTATAGATGCCTTAGCAACATTGAAGACTACAAATCATTCTGCCTCTTCTTCAGGTTCCCTATTCTCTTCTACCTCTTCACGGTCACTGAAGATCTCTCAATCAACGACCTTCTTTTGCAAGTCCATCTTCTCTGGTGGAATTTCAACTTCTAGAAAAAGAACTTCAATTTGATCGCAGGCTCTTTGGAAGGCATCCATGACCCCCTTGATACCATAATCAACGACATCATCGTACTCCTTTTTCAACTCTTTAACTCGCTCTCTGTGAGATTCTCTATCCTTTTCTAAGGCCTCCTTCGTTGCAGTAACTTGGTAAAAGAAAACTACTCTTTAGTAGACTTTGCATTCTCTAGAACATTCTCTTTGTCACCTAATGCCCCTTGCAGGTTGATGATTCTAGCAGCCGAGTCAGACAGAGTGCCATGGACTTCCACCTTCTTTTTAAGATTGACCATTTTCTCTGCCTCCTTTTTCCACTTCTCTGTCTCCTTTTAGAAGTCTTCCACCTCATTTCGGGATTCCTCTAACTCTTCTTAAAGCTTATGTATCTTTTTTTAAAGAGCAGTCTGCTCAGTCTACTCACAGACAACAACTTCGCATTTGATCTTCCATTGTTCCTTCTCTTTGGAAGGGTTTTTTTAGAGCAAATATTTCTTTCCAGCTAAGTCGTCAAGGATATTAATGAAGTACCACATAACATGTGGTAGACGGTCTTAGCCATCAACTTCAATTTTCCAGAGTCATAAAGGCTTTGGACGTAGGTAGCACCCTACTCAATGAAACATGTTTGTGCCTCTTTTAAGTAAAAGAGTCGTGAGAATTCTCACACACAAAACTACAATATCTCGTAGTCGAAGTGACGCAGATTTGAGGTCAATCGAAACATGTTGAATTAATATATTTTTGGTAATTAAATTTTTTTCGTTACGCTTAATTATATTTTATGGATATATATTAAGGTGTACATCCTGGAATTCCCTAGGTTGAGTAATAAGGTCGGGCATGAAGAAATAATGTGCTGAGTATGCCAAAGGCAGCAAGACGAGCAAGTCGGACCCAATCTCTTGAGAATGCTTGTAGGTGACAAGAACGACCACACACAACGGTTTCAACATAGCTCCATGATTACATGGGAGTTGCAGAAACTGACGAGGAGGACATTACATGATGATAAAAGAGGACGGTAGACGTTACTGGGGCACCATAAAAACATGGAATTCGAAGAGACTCTTATTAAAGGGCCATTGAAGTAATGATAGGTATAAAAAAGGATTTCCATCAAGGTAGAAAGAACAAACAACAAAGACCCCCTATAAACAAGACGATTACGATCCCACCTAACTCGTTTAAGGGGGATTAATCAAATAGAATTTATCAGGAACATTTGGCGCCTACCTTGGGGCCTTGATAAAACTTTTCCAGGACTCACAAAAAAAATACATTTCATCATAGAAATACGATGTCTGGATCATCTCCTAGCAGGAGCTAACCTCACACCCCACCATACATGATACTAATAGAAGTCAGCTATCCAAACTGGAGTCGAATAAATATTGACGATAATCTTAATTTAGGAGGGATTAGACAACTCGGCCTACTTCATAGAAGAAATCAGAAGAATGACTCATGTGAGAGAATGTGCAGCGAAATAAAGAATGGCCAAGTTCAACACTAAAGTTCGTACGAGAAGTTTTCGAGAAAGTGATTTGGTCTTGAAGAAAGTTCCCGAAACAAATTGTATAAACTAGAGAATTTGAAAGGAGTAGAATTTTCAAGAGTTTGAAATGTTTCCAACTTAAAATTTGTAATGCTATTAATAAATAAAAACCGGGGTAACAATCTTTTAGTAACTTTTTCAAATATTGCAAGTTGTTAACACTTTATTGTTTTCAAATCTTCGACCACAGCATCAACTCCTGCATCGTCTGACTCCACACCTACAAGAAGAAACATCAACTGTAATGCCTCTTCATCTCTCTAATCCTCCTAATTTTTTTCTCCCTTTTTAGCTTTATTTTCAGTGACCCATTTTCCTTTTATATTCACATTTTTTATTTTTAATAACATTACTTGTAATCTAAACTCACATGGATGGATCTCTTTGATATTTTCTAGACTCAAATTTATGCAGCAAGAACTTCTTACATGGAGACCTATTCTTACGCCTCGAGCGGTATATCTTTTTAAATTCATGTGATTAAATTTAAATTGTTATTTACTTAGTTGTATAATTTACATTTAACTCTAGTGTCTCTTTGCAGATTATTTTACGATTTTTGCTTATTATGGAAGCACCAATTTTTGTATACTATCAGCTAGAAAGATTTTACCAGAATCACCACAGGTATGCAATAACCTATTCACAATCCTGATTTTTATTTTATTTTTGTTAAATTGCTGCTTTTGCTTTTCAACTTTCTCTTAAAATTGGTTATAACAGTTATGCATATATATAATTTATCTTAAAATCTTGGTAAGATGAAAACAGTAACTTAGACTTTTCAAATTTTAAATCTTGGTAAGATGCAGTACTGACTTAAGAAGCAAGTAAACTGAGAGAGAAGGACTGTCTTAGAACAAAACATTAGTATTACAACATTATGTTATTATCTTTTTCATCTTTTATTAATCATATTATTCAAATATTCAATTTATTATAAATTTAAATCATGACTAACAATTTTGGTGTACAAAATTCAAGTGAATGATTTCAAATGACTAACAAACTCTATATAAACAAACGAGCTCTTAATCTTTACAATTTTGAAACGTACAAGTTATTTTATGTTTATTTCAAAAAACAATTTTAAATATGTTGTATTTTTCTGGTTTTGTAGGCAACTTGGAGATCCATCACAGATTTGTCATGGAATAGGAACCAAGCTCGAAGTTATAAATAAGCAACTTTAAAATATGACATCTTATGTGTTAAGGAGAGAATATCATATAGAGGCAAGTCAATCAGTTAAATATAGAGAAAAACTTTAAAAAATTATTAAAAAAGTTATTAAGTAAGATCTTAAAATTAATGAATTAGATAAAAATATGGTCTTGGATAGAAATTATGATAGTAGTTAATCTATGTAACTGACTCTTGATAAAGCTTTGTTATTGTCAAAGATAAGTAGTAGCTTAGTAGAAATTATGATAGTAGTTAATCTATGTAACTGACTCTTGATAAAGCTTTGTTATTGTCAAAGATAAGTAGTAGCTTAGTAGAGTTCTTATTTGTTGGTATTTGAATAATTAATATAAGATAGTTTTAGAAAATTATTTAGAAAGAATGTCATAAGAACCATGTGGATATAAGAAATTGTTATATTGGAATATGGACGGTAGTTTGAAGTTTTACCGGAGGAAATGACATTGATTTTTTTAGTTGATCAATTACAAAGTACTAATTATCTATTTATAGTTTCAAGTCACTAACCGTTTAACTCTGGTGAATGTTTTTAAATTACTTTAGTTCTAGATGTTTTATGATAGATTAATATTATAATAGTTCTAAGTTCTTCTAGCAGTTTCATACATATTATATCTAAGAATTCTAGAAATTTGTAGCAATTTCAACACTCTTCCTTGCAAATTTTTGTGACTTCAAGTGTGTCATAACTATTCAAATCTCAGTCTCGACAATGCCTTCATGATTATGTATGCAATTTGATCTTCTATCTTGCAATAATCGAGTTTGATCTCTTTAGTTGCTTTATCTTCTTTGATAAAGTGATATTTGATTGCTATGTGTTTTGTTCCGTTGTGATGCACTGAATTTTTCACCATTACAATTGATGATTTGTTGTCGCAGTTGACTATAGTGGGTTTATCTTATTTTTTCACATGTCTTTAAGTATCCTGCGATGCCATATAGCTTGATTCGTTGCTTCAGCAACTGCCACATGCTATGCTTCTACTGTTGATTGTGCAACTGTAGCTTGCGTCTTCGACGTCTGAGAGAAACTTTCTGATCCAAGTGAAAAAACATATCCAGATGTGCTCTTCATGTCATCTATCAAACCTGTCTAATCAGTGCCGATGTAGTCAAGTAATCTTGAGTCGGTTTTAGTAGTGTATTATATACCGAACTCTTTTGTTTCTTGTAGATACCTTAAAATTCTTTTTCATGCTACAAAGTAAGTGTATTTGACTAGGGATTTGCATGAATCTTGATAGAAGACTTGTAGCATACATTATTTCTGGCTATGTAGCTCTCAAATATATGAGGCTTCCAATTAGACTTTTATATATGGATGCGTCAGCTTCCGGTGCTCCATCATTCTTCTGTAGTTTCTCATTTGTTACGAGTGGAATACCAACATGTTTACATTTGTACATCTTGAATTTCATAAGTAAACCTTATGCGTATTTATTTTGTGAGATGAATACCCTATCATTTCTCTAACTTACCTCTATATCGAATAAATAATATATATATATATATATATATATATATATATATATATATATATATATATATATATATATATATATATATATATATATATATATATATATATATATATATATATATATATATATATATATATATATATATATATATATATATAGTGTACTGACCTTAAGATTTGATGTATAGTGTAGGTTCACTCTTGCTCTTCCTGAAATACTGTTCGATTTTGTTATACTATGTTCGAGGTGCTTGCTTCAGACCATAAAGTGTTTTTCTTAGTCTTATTTTCTTTCTTTGCCTTCAAACACAATCCTTGTGGCTACTTGTTGCGGTGAGAATTGGATATCAAGTTATTGAATGAACTTGAATCGCAAATTTTTGAATTCACAACCGGTCTTTGATTTATCCGAATAAAAGGTTAAAGAAAGAAAAACCTAAATTTGCATCATAAACACAATGCGGGGAGATCTAGGATTCGAGGGTTGGTTATACCTAGGGAAGGTGTTAACTGTTGGTGCAAAGATAGAATAAATGATGAAATAGGAAATATTCTATTAAAGAGAATGACGGCTACAAAACATGATATAGGTTACAATGATTGTCACCCTATTTATATGCTAAAACTAGGGTTACTAGAATAAGATAAATACTAAAATACCCTCTAACAAACTTAGGGGCTAAGAAAATAGTACAACTAAATAAATATGAATTATTAATAATATTCTAATACCATCCCTTAATTCATATTCCATCAAAACTTGTGACACCAATTCCATCCCTTAATCTGAGAAATTGATCAGTTTTGATAGCTTTCGTCAGAACATCTGCCAACTGCTTCTGAGTGCTGCAGTGTACAACTTCTAACACTCCACTCTGAACTTGATGTCTCAGAAAATGATACTTGGTCTCAATATGCTTGCTTCTCCCATGCAGCACTGGGTTTCTGGCAAGGTTGATTGCAGACTTGTTGTCAATCATCAACTTCAGAGGTTTGTCTACCTTAATCTTCAGATCCTGCAACAGATTCAGAATCCACACAGCTTGGCATGCAGTAACAGCACCTGCAATGTATTCAGCTTCACAGGTTGACAACGCCACAACAGGTTGCTTCTTGGAACACCAAGAAATGGGACCTCCCAGAAATTTGAACAAGTACCCAGATGTACTTCTTCTGTCAACTCTGTCTCCACACCAATCAGAGTCTGAATAACTCAGAAGTTCTGACTCATTATTTCCTCCAGAGGGAAATAACACTCCATACTTCAGAGTTCCTTTGATATACCTCAGAATCCTGACAGCAGCTTGGTAATGGGACCACTTAGGTTTACTCATGAACCTACTAACCATCCCAACTGAGTAGCAAATATCAGGTCTGGTATTGCACAGATACCTCAGAGAACCAACCAACTGTTTGAAGGTTGTAGCATCCACATCCTTTCCTTCAGAGTCTGAATCCAGTTTCTGATTTGTATCAGAAGGTGTGACAGCCATCTTACAATTCTTCAGATCAAATCTCTTCAGAAGTTCTAATTCATACTTGAGCTGATGCAAAATGATACCTTTCTCAGAATATCTGAACTCCATCCCTAGAAAGTATGTCATTTTGCCTAGATCAGTCATTTCAAATTCATTCATTAGAACCTTCTTGAACTTGGCTATCTCCTGTTCAGAACTTCCAGTCAATAGTATATCATCAACATATAAACATACCAGAGTCATATTGCCTTCAGAAGTATGCTGAACATAGACACCGTACTCCATCTCACATTTCTGAAAGCCTTGCTTCTTGAAAAATGAATCAATCTTCTGATTCCAAGCTCTGGGCGCTTGTTTCAATCCATATAGAGCTTTGTATAATCTGTACACCATCCCTTCCTGATTCTTTTTCACAAATCCAGGAGGTTGTGACACGTAAACTTCTTCTTCTAATGGACCATTCAGAAATGCAGATTTTACATCTAAATGCATCAGAGGCCAATTCCTGTTAGCAGCTATTGCAATCACCATTCTGATTGTTTCATGTCTTGCTACAGGTGCAAACACTTCAGAATAATCCAGCCCAGGTTTCTGTAGAAATCCTCTGGCTACCAACCTTGCTTTATGTTTGCCAATTGAGCCATCTGGCTTTAACTTCTGCTTGAAAACCCATCTGACGCTGATGGCTTTCTTGTCTTTTGGAAGTTCTGTCAGTTTCCAAGTCTTGTTTCTCTCTATAGCATCAAGTTCTTCTTTCATGGCCTTCAGCCAGAGCTTCTGCTTAAGAGCCTCCTCTGTACTTATAGGTTCAGAGTCTACTAACATGGCACACTGAATAACTTCTCCTTCAGAGTCTACTTCAGTGTCTTGCAGCATGTCAAATTCTGCAAATCTTCTGGGAACGCTTCTGATTCTTTGTGGTCTCTGAACTTGTTCAGAGTCTTGAGCTTCAGAGTTTCTAGCTTCAGATGATTGACCTTCAGAGCTTTGACCATCTTCAGAGTCTGGCATATTTCCAGAGTCTGAATTGCCACCAAGATCTGGATTGTCATCAGAGTCTGAATCACCAGAGTCTGGGTCATCAGAGTCTGGGTCATCAGAGTCGCCTTCATCTTCTGAGTCTTCTTCAGAGTTTGAATCAGTATCAGAGTCATCAATTCTTATCTCTGACCTTTCTTCAGAGGTTCTAACATCAGAATCTGATTGAGACTTATCCCAATTCCAAACTTCTGATTCCTTCACAATCACATCTCTGCTGAATTCAATTTTATTGGTTTCTGGACATTCAGAGTCTGCAGTTCTTACATTCACCTTGAATGTTCTATTCCTTCCCTGTTCTGACTCCATAATCAACTTCTGATTACAGTCATACAGCTTCAGAAGATTGTCCTTCATGGTAACTGAGAAACCTTTCTCAATTAATTGTCCCACACTCATCAGATTGCTTCTGATGCCAGGTACATACCACACGTTCTGAATCAATGCTGTTTTCCCATTGTTCAGAGTCACTCTGACATTTCCCATACCTTCTGCATTAAGATATTTGTCATCAGCACATCTGATCTTTGTCCTCTTTTCAGAGTCAAAGTCAACCAACCATTTCTTGTTTCCAGTAAGATGATTTGAACAGCTAGTGTCCATATACCACCAATCTGTCAGATCATCAGATTCAGAGGCCATCAATAGCACAGATTCGTCATCAGAACTTCTGGATATATTTGCTTCTTCTGATTTCTTCTCCTTGTTTGACCAACAATCTCTAGCAAAGTGGCCAAACTTCTTACAACAGTAACATTGTATTTTTCTTTTGTCATACTTCTCTTTTCCCTTCTGAGCATTCTTTTGTCTATCAGAGGTTGAGCTTTCTGACTTCTGACCACCATCAGATCTTCTCCTAGCTTCTGACTGCTTCTGATACCTCCTATCAGAAGTAGCTTTCAGAGCCTGCTATTCTACTTCCTTTTCAGAGTTTCTCTCAGTCAGACGCAACTCTTGCGCTTCTAGACTGCTCTGCAGCTCTTCAATTCTCATTGTGCTCAGATCTTTGGAATGTTCTATTGCTACCACAATGTAATCAAATTGAGGAGTAAGGGATCTCAACACTTTCTCCATGATTGTTTCTTCAGAAAGAGTTTCTCCACATGCCTTCATCTCATTAGTGATCAGAATCACTCTGGAGATGTATTCAGAAACTTTCTCATTATTCTTCATGTTGAGATTCTCATATTGCTTTCTCAAGGACTGAAGCTTCACCTTCTTCACTGATGCGTCACCACCATAACATCTCACCAGAGTGTCCCATGCAGCCTTTGCTGTTGTAGAGTCTGCAATCTTCTCAAACACGTTTACATCCACACATTGATGAATGAAGAACAATGCTTTCTGATCCTTCTTCCTTACTTCCTTCTGCGCGTTTTTCTGTTCATCAGTTGCATCTGCTGCTACTGGAACATAACCATCAGTGACAAGATCCAGAACATCTTGAGCACCAAACAGCACACGCATCTGGATCATCCAACGATTCCAGTTTTTACCGTCAAATACTGGAAGTTTGGTGTTCATGTTGCCGTTTCCGTTCATCTTCTTCTTTGCACAATACACTCAGAGTTTTCTCACACAGTGTTTCCCAACCCACAGAATTAAAAAATTCTGATCAGATTTTGTTCAAGATTCAACAAGAATCTGAGAAACAAAATCAAACACACAAGACCTCACGTTCACTCGTGTTTCCCGTGTTTCCCAATGAATCTGAACCGGAGCTCTAGATACCAATTGTTGGTGCAAAGATAGAATAAATGATGAAATAGGAAATATTCTATTAAAGAGAATGACGGCTACAAAACATGATATAGGTTACAATGATTGTCACCCTATTTATATGCTAAAACTAGGGTTACTAGAATAAGATAAATACTAAAATACCCTCTAACAAACTTAGGGGCTAAGAAAATAGTACAACTAAATAAATATGAATTATTAATAATATTCTAATATTAACATCCTAAGCATATGTAGTACTCTACATGAACCTCTTGTTTATATTGTGTTATTTGTTATCTGTCTGCTACTCGCCAAGACATCGCATCTTGTGCCTACGTATCCTGACGGGAATGGAATCAGAGTATTCGTAGTTCCCCTCAAAGAGAGTGAGGAACTTCATAATTGTGGTTAAGGTTCTAGGGGGAAGTAAGTGTTCATAGTGAGACGCTTACGTGGAGTGCGGCGACTCCAAGTCTAAGTTGAGTTGAGAGATAGGTAAGTAAGTATCCTCGGCGGGAACTTACATGGAGTACGACGACTCCGATCCTAAGGTTAGGATGAAAGGAATAAAAGAGAATGTACATGGCAGGACGTTATGTGTGGAGTGTGGCGACTCCGATCCTAAGGCTAGGATAAGGGTAAGGATCTAAAAAAATGTGTGACATGGCAGCCAACGAGGAGGAGATACCACTTCCTTTGGAAAGGAACTGGAAACCAGTGTAGTTAAGAGCATAAAAATGAATAAATATTAGCATAGGGCTGGAATCAAATCAAGTGTAATCACAAACGCAATGGATAGGCATCACAACAAACGTTGTCAATTAATCGAAATCAAGATACCAAAAAAAGAAATAAAATAAAATAATAATAAAAAAAGAGAAAGATATTACAAGAGAATAACATCAAAAATCAGGGGTTAATCACAGGTAAATGTACTAAGAACTAAACTCAACTGAAATATCAGGAATTAACAAGAATGGAAAAAGATAGCAAATTGCTAAGATTAAACTAATCAACTGAAACAATTAACCCTAAAACTGTAACTAATTAATTAACAAGAAAGCTAACAAAATAAATAAGTTCTAAATAAGAACTAGTAATTAATCAAAAACCAATAATTAAATAAATGAAATTGTAGTTTGGGAACTAAATAATCTAAGCTCTAAATGTAAATTTGATAATTAATCCTAAATAAAAACTAACTAAAACTGATTAAATAAAAACCAAATTAGTTATAATCTAATAATTAAACAAACTACAGTCTGAATAATTAGGGAAAGTTGCCGGGGGGAAATTATGGGCTGTGAAATACCCGTCATCATCAGACTTGGTCAAGAAACGTTGTCTTTTGTTTTTGGATCGCCCAGGTTTCTTCCGCGGCCTACCCAATACATGGTTAAAAAGCTAACAAAAAAATATTCAATATAAACAAAATGCCACTAGTCAATCAGCAAGCACAAAACTCACAACGCACTTACTTGAGACGAGATCCTCAGAACAAGGCGTTAGGTTACGCTTCGGCTTTCCTCACGGAGACATCGAACCATCGAGGTGTGTGTAACAGTTCTCCTTCTTGCGCAGTGACATCCGTTCTACCTCAGACTCCATTTGCTTCAAAGAATCAGGTTTGTGATTCATTCTGTACCTCGCAAGTTTCTAATCGATCTTCTTCATCTCATTCTCGCTTTTTTTGTTCGATATGGGTTTTTTTGACAGTTATGGCATTTTGAAATGTGTTAATGTCTCTGTGACTGCAATGGTGTTGTAGCTAATGTGATGGCTTTCGACGACTTGCGGCGACCATCGTAATCAGAAGTGAAATCTGTACTTCGCGGCGATGTCGGAGGCGAAACTTTTCTTCCGATTCGGTATTGGTATTTCGTCTCCACTTGTTCTTGTTCTGTGAATCCCTTTTCCTACTCTCTCCCTTTGTTGTTGTTTCAAATGCCTTTTTATATAGCATGTGTAGATTAAATTGTGGTTTTTAAAATGAATGAGTGAGACCAAAGTGTTAAATTCTGTTTTCCATTTTGTCTCAAACCTGTTTTGACATGTTCGGATTTCCTTCCTTTTTGGCGTCAACATGTTAGGTGTATTTTAGGATAGGCATTGAAAAAATTATGAACATGATAAAATCTTGTTTGGTATTATTTGAATGAAGCCTTTCATTTGATATTGTTTGAAGAAAAAAACGAGCTTGCTTGATTATGCCTTGGATTATGAATTTGAGTTTGAAATGTCATCTTCATTTTCTTTTGCAGTTGTTCTCCGACCTTTGCCAAATCCTCTGCGCTAAAACTTTGGTATAACTTTGTTTGATTTGGTTTCACTCGCAAGTCTGATTAAGGACTTATTGGTAGCAAGCACGCATGTTTTGCATAACCGATCGGTGGCATGAAGTTGTCAGCTTTATCAAGATGCTGCGGAATGTTTCAATGTCGCTGTGTAGCTTTGGAGCAAACTCTACAACCAATACATCAACAGGTGTAACAATAGTGTTCCAAAACTCAACAATTCACCACATTTTCCATTTATGACTAAAAAAAGAATCACATATAGTAATATGTAGTGTTATGCAGTATGTAATCCATTCTTGAGCGCATGAAATGTTGTTCTGGCAAGATAATAGGAAAGATTCCTTTAGCATCAGTGGAAAAAATGGCAGTTTCTGTCTAACGGTGTGAAATGTGAATCTTTGTAAATTTCCAAAACTTGAATTTCTATAGGAAAGATTTTGAAATTGATTTGTAAATAAACTCTTGAACATTTTGAAATTTTCTCAACATGAACTTTCCATTTGCACCTTGATATGAAAGTTAAAAAAGAAAAATACAATTTGGGCCTTGGATCAATTCGGCCCCTCAGTTTGCTTCTTGTTGCCTTGTCATGGAGAATGAAATTGAACTTAGAATGACTAACTTGTAAATCTTGAATTTTATTGAAAATTGAATGTACTCTGAATTTTTGATATGGCTTGAATTTGTGAGTTTGATTATGAAAAAATGTAGTAACTTGCAATTGTTTGTGATGCGAATGTGAACCTTGCAAGGGAACATTTTGGGTCTTTGAATTTTGGAATAAAAATTGATGTTCTTCCTTAATTACATGAGAATGCTATTGTGCCAAATAATGGATCATGAATTGGTACTTTTCATTTGAATCACTCCTTGAATGAATAACTTGAATTCGAACTTGAAATTTGTAACAATAATGAACTACTTCGAACTTTTGTAAAGAACATGAACTTTACCTTGATAATTTCTTGCCAATACTCGATTCAGATCCTTATCCAAACTCTTTCTTTTTAAGGTCAAAAGAAACATGAACCATGGACCAACATCATGAAAAAAAATCTTGCTCGATTCTTACTGCCCGTTCAATTAAAGTCTTATGAACTCGGTACGCAAACCATGCCTTCAGGAATCCTTTGAAAATGAGTATACAGCTTGTAATGTATCTCACCACCAAAATTACAACTAATTATCAGATGATCATCCTCGTAAACAAAAGATAGAAAGCCCTAATCCTGCTTGGAGAAACCTCTGAGGAATTTTGGAGAGAATTGACCTTGTACTGAGTAAGAGACCATAAGAATGAAGGAATATCCTTTCTTCATCTCCACTGAGATTTAACACAACTTACAGAGGATTAGGAGCACACACAAATCTTCCATTATCTTCGAATCTTTTTGCAGCAACCCTAACTCTATAACTGAAAAGAAAAAAAAAACATCTAATAACTCGGTTAGCTATGTATGGATAATTGACTTAAGATGATGTGCAAAAGATCAAGAAATCTCGGGGTAAAGTTTGGGGTATATCAGTTGACCCTATTTAAATATCTTCACCGGATGACATGAGTGATGAAAGTCTTCGTGAAGTCATGGTGAAAGGTATTTAAATATAGATAACCGAAAATTTTGTCCTTAGATGCAATAATTTTCTATTGCGGTTAGAATAGGATATCAAACTATTAATTAGTTTGAATCACAATCTTAGATTCACAACCGATCTTTGATTTATCCGAAGGAAAAGGTCAAAAGAAAGAAAACATATTTTTTGCATCGTAAACAATGCGGGGAGAGCTCTAGGCAAGGGGTTGGTTAAGCTTAGGGAAGATATTAGCACTCTAAACTTCTGTAGTACTCTACAGAAACCTTTTGTTTAAATTTACTATTTTGCTTTATTATTTGCTTGAGGGTATATGCTAATGGTTAAGAGTGACAGAAAGACCTAAGGGTTAGTCCTAAGTTTACTCGACAAGATTCGCATCTTGTGCCTACGTATCCTGGATAGGGGATGGAATCAGAGTAATCGTAGTTCTCCTCAAAAGCAATTCTGGTAAAACTATAAAGGACTTTAGGCCAATTTCCTATTGTACCACTGTGTACAAGATTATCTCTAAAATCTTGACTGGTAGAATGAATAAGGTTATGTCTAGCATCATTAATCAAAGCCAGGTTGCTTTTGTTCCAGAGCATAACAGCCATGATCACATAATCTATCTTATGAGCTAATTAGAGACTATATTAGGAAGGGTGGAACCCCTAGGTGCATGCTCCAAGTAGACATTCAAAAAGCCTATGACACAATGGATTGGTTTACTTTGGAATGTATTCTAAAAGAGATTGGTTTAATGCATATAGTAATTATTAATAAAAGATTGAATTTTAAGATAGTAATGGTTGTACATATACGATATATTGTCATATCATATTAAAGAGTATATTATCTTATCACATTAAAGAAAAATAATATAAAATATTTATAAAATTAAATTAATTTTTTTCATAAAAATATTAAATAAATTTTTTTCATAAAAATATTAAAATGAGGTAGATAAGCTTGATAGTATTAAATATGAACGCATCTAAGTTAAATTAATTGATTTTGAATTTTTTTTACTCACACATTTTAACGTTAACCCAAACTAAACTCCTTTCATTTACTGCCAAAAAAAACTCGTTTCATTTGTATAATACCATGCAATTTTTTTGTCTTCATACAATTAATAGTTGTATGTACTTGCACTTAGACATTTACAAAAATAATGGACTGTTGGTATTAAAGCAATATCTTATGTCAACTATTAATACAAAAAATAATATATATACTGATGTGTTTTTAAAAAGATTAATGATACGCATTTGATTATGGCCCACATAATAAACAATTATTTCTTTTAAATATTATGTTATAGACTATTTGATTAAGTTTTTTGTTTCACAAACATATATATATATATATATATATATATATATATATATATATATATATATATATATATATATATATATATATATATATATATATATATATATATATATATATATATATATATATATATATATATATATAAAGTATTATTTATTCAAATACTAAAAAAATATCTATTTTTTATAAATTAATTCATATATATATATATATATATATATATATATATATATATATATATATATATATATATATATATATGTGTGTGTGTATATATATATACATATATATATATATATATATATATATATATATATATATATATATATATATATATATATATATATATATATATATATATATATATATATATATATATATATATATGTGTGTGTGTGTATATATATATATATATGTGTATATAGATATGTATATAGATATGTATATACATATGTGTATATACATATATATATATATATATATATATATATATATATATATATATATATATATATATATATATATATATATATATATATATATATATATATATATATATATATATATATATATATATATATATATATATATATATATATATATATATATATATATATATATATATAAAGTATTATTTATTCAAATATTAGAAAAATATCTATTTTTTATAAATTAATTCATATATATATATATTAATTTATAAAAAATTAACGAGTGAATCTTAATTTTTTTTTAAATGGGAACAATTTTTTTATTAATTTAAATATGTTTATAAATAATATTTACATACGATAAAAAATATATATTGTTGATCCAAATATTTTTATATATGAAAAATATATATTTATGATTTAAATATAAATAAATATATATATCTTTATTTTAAAAATAATAAATTTCTTTGGCTAAGTAGTTTTATTTTTATTACATTTTAGAAACAAATGTGTGTATCACACGAGTACCCATACGAATGCATGGATATCTAGATTAGAATTCATGCGAACCTACGAATTATTATATTTTTTTTCAAATTAAAGAAAATAAAAATAAATATATTTAAAATAATATATGACGGTTGATCTAAGTATTTGTATATATGAAACAACTATATTTATTCTCCAAATTAGCGTTCAGACGGGCACGAGCATAGAAAAATAAACATGTGTATATTTTGTATGAAGTTTTTATCATACTTAAAAATAATGTTTTAACATATTTAATTGAATTCGACAAAAATTAAAATTTTATCAATCAAAATTAAACTACAAAAATAAAAATATAATTTACGTCGAATTTAAATTTTGATCTCGAAATTAACCGAATCTGATGGATGTCTAACAAATATAATTAATTAAGCATTTATTTTTTTATTTTGTTCAAAATTTTGCGGATAAGTTTAAATTAACTGAATCTGATGGATGTCTAACAAAGTTTTTTATTTTTATTTTTAATAATATTTTTATATTATTCCAAATTATTTTATATTTTAGTTAACTCATGATATTATCATTGAAACTTTTTTCATTG